CGGGGTTTTTTCTTGGCTGACCTTGGCCCGTGATGGGGAGGTGTCTGTTTCCCTCCTGACCCCCGTCTCGCGCTAAGCGCCTCGTTGCTCTCTGCCGCTCCCTTTGTGTCTCCCAGGAGCGGGAGTCCCTCAACGCCAACATTGTGGATGCCATCAACCAGGCTTCAGACTGCTGGGGCATCCGGTGCCTGCGCTACGAGATCAAGGACATCCACGTGCCCCCGCGCGTGAAGGAGTCCATGCAGATGCAGGTGTGGTTCTCTGGGAGGGCGGTCTGGAACAAGAGGGAAGTCTCCCCTTCCACGCCGCGCCGCTGTTACCTGCCCAGAGCTGGCAGCGCTGGCCCCTCCCGCGGTGAGGGAAACCCCTTGGCACTCTGGCTGCAAACGTACAGCTATTGAATAAATCATTCCCGTCCTTATTTCGGTGGCGGTGGCCCCTGCCCTGGTACACGCGAGCCCCGCCAGCTCCCTTTAAAATCCCTACCGGGCTCTGTAGGAAGCAAATCCCAGAGCTCTGAAGGCCTGCCCTTGAGAAAAGCCGGGCACCAGGTCTCCGGGCTGGAAGGGGAGGAGGGGGAAGCGACCGTCCGGTTAGGTGTGGACCAGGCTGCGGAGGGCTGCGCAGGGTGAGGAGCAGAACCGGCCCTCGCTGGGGATCGCGCGGCGTCTTGTCGAGGCGTGCTCGTGCTTTGCTAAGCCGGGCTTGCCCAAGCGGGACGTAGGAGCGCGTCCTCGCTGCGCTCGCCCCACGGACGGGGTTTTCCCGGCGCGGCCGTGGCAGGCTGGCATCTGACCTGTGTTCGCAGGTGGAGGCGGAGCGGCGGAAGCGGGCGACGGTGCTGGAGTCGGAGGGGACGCGGGAATCGGCTATCAACGTGGCTGAGGGGCAGAAGCAGGCCCAGATCCTGGCGTCGGAAGCCGAGAAGGCCGAACAAATCAACAAAGCCGCTGGTAGTGCCTTGGGCTCAAACGCGTGGGGCCTGGGGGATCCGTAGCCCTCCGCACCGAGGGGTGTTGCTCCCGGGGAGCAGACCGCATCGCCGTCTGTGGGCCAGGCTTCCTCAGCCAGGCTGATCCTTCCCCGCTGGGGCCCTCGGGCTGAGCTCCAGCTCGCGTTGCTGCCCCTCAGCCTGGGGCAGCAGGGGGTGTGTGGCAGGAGTATCGCCGCGCTGCTGCTATTGGGGAGGAGGCGGCTTTGCACGCCCTGGAATTGTCTTGACTCGCTCCTTGAAATTGTCTCGGTTCGCTCCTTGCACGCGCTCCGTCGCGGTCCTGAAGCGCGTGCCGCTGTGGTTCGTTTGCAGGAGAGGCCAACGCCATGCTGGTCAAGGCCAGGGCCAAGGCGGAGGCAATTCAGCTGCTGGCAGCTGCTCTGGCGCAGCAGGTGAGCGAGGGCTCCTCGGGGCAGGCACCGCTTTGGGGCTGGGGCCGGGGGGGGGGGGGG